TCAACATTACTGTCAATGTTCATCAAAATCTGTTTTGTACTTTTTACATGAAAGAAAAACAATCAATCAACCATACATACATACATCTTCACATAGCTTTATATTTTTGTTATTTATAGCCAAAAGCTATGTAGTCTCTAAATAAAATATTATCATTTGGTTATTCCATGAAATCTTATCTGTTATATAATAGATATTATCTTAAGAATTCATTTAAATATAAATATGAAGATAAAATGTTTTGATTTTTTTATTTTATAAACATCAAAGAGATTATTTACTTCTTCACGACTTACTTTTCTAGAAATTTGCCTCATATTAATAAACTAAGTTTTTGTGTCCACAAAACTTTGTAATTTACAAATTTTATATAACACCACACTAAAATGTTCTATAAGTAGACTTTAAAGGTACTAACAAGTAATATTATCTCAAACTTCAACATTGTAGGCGTGTAAGGTTCTTGGTGTAAGTCCACAAGAATTTAATTTCTCTTAAAAGCTTTCGAACTCAGGACTGCAGCTTAGTTTTTCTTTTTTAACGTTTACTTTCATTAACGTTATTTAACATCAGGACTCTTGGTTTATTAAAATTCTGTAAAATTTCATTCTACATTAGTAGAGGAATTAATTTTTATGTTCGACATCTTTATCGTTGACGTAGCAACATCGAGGTAAAATCGAAGCATGTCATTGTCTTATCATTACAGATCCATTCTTTGCCTATACAAAAGTCTACACACAGATGTTCCTTGAGTATCATAAAATATAACTTGTACTTCCAGAAAATATTTCTGATTTTATTTAAGAATAAAGTTGAAGCATTTCTTGAAGCTCGTAATGAATTCTTAACTGGACTGATAGTGAACATTAACCCTTAACCATATATTTTTTATTAATAAAATAGCAAACTTAGAGAGAAAAAGATTTTATAGAAGTGCAGTCACACGTGAAACTATTATTTCGGAAATACCTAAATAATGGATAGTAAAAGATTGGAAGTGAAGGTAAATCGTTAGTGAACAAAGAACCGCTAAAAGAGAGACAGGATTTACTTTCTTAATAAAATTACTTTCTATCGAAAAACTTTTCTTTTTATTAATCACTAGTTTTTGCCCGCGACTTCGTCCGCGGTAATTTCTTTATTAGTAATATATGTATAGCTGACCGGGCGGACTGTATTTCGTCTTGGAGGCCATTAATAATCAGGTTTTTCCTGTTTCAATCGAACAGAATGATTGACATATTAGTTAGTAGTCAAATCGAATGTCAAAGAAAACGTTTGTATGGGAAATAGAAAAGGGTTGTTTTTAGGGTTTTCCCAAAAATTATTCAATTTTTTTCAGCTTTTATACCTTCCCTGAACCTCCACGAACATTTCAAGACTAAGATAAGATAAATCCGTTCAGCTGTTCTCGAGTTTTAGCGAGACTAAGGAACAGCAATCCATTTTTATATATATAGAAGATTAATGCATATTTTGTAATAATTTTACCTCTTTAATCCTTTAAAATCCTGTTGTCAATAAGCCTTGACGCATATTGTGACTTACTGAAACTGGATAGTACCTCAACAAAGAAAATCGGATTAAAATAGCTTTTAGCTTTAGCTGCACTTCGTCAGCTTGTGATACTGCAGTAATTATTTTAGGGAAATGTTCAATAGGTAGCTAAAGCAGAATACTATTAGAACGGTATAAGTTTACATAAAAAGGATTTCTTTTTAATCTGATTTTAAGCTAAAGCTGTCTCAAAAGTAATATAAACGTTGGAATAAGTGAATTTTCTTATCTATTTTCTGTTGTTGAAAGACTCTGTCATATACGGAAATAAATTTTTTCTTAAAGTTATATGATCCTTTCTTCTACTAGTAAATATTATCTATATAGTTTTGTGAAATATACAACATTACTACTGCCGTTTCTTTTCAGACATAGTAATTTTAGAGTCAAATCCAGGTAGAAATAAAATGTCTTATATAATCTTGGTTAATTTTCCTTTATTTTAAATCATAATTAATTAAAAGATACAGTCGTCAGCTTTACATCCAAATGACAATAGAAAATATATTAATCGTCATCTGAAAAGTAAAACTGTCTTGAATATGATGAAAAATGTGACTAACAGTGTCACTCGTTTCTTTTTTTCATTCAGATTACTTTGTCACAAATATTAATAAAAGATGCATTTATGAAGAATTTTTACAGAAATTTAATTTAGAATTTTTTATATAAATATTATTTTCAATCGTTGATCCTTATCATAGTGAATTCGTGTGCGATTATTTTACGTTTTAGTTTATTTTAATTTATTATTTCTGTAAAAGTACTCGTTAGTTTTGCATTAATATTTATTGATTAGAACATAAATATATATATACGTATATTGTATACATACATATATACAGTTTTCGCTTATATGTATTTTATCAAATATTTTGTTATCAAATATTTCTTTTTTTTTTTAAGGACCTCATAATATGTTCTCAAAATTGTATTGGAGATAAACATTATTCGTATAAAAAATATTTTTATAATACAGCCGCAATATGCGTCATAAAATAAAAATATAATAAAATAAAATTAGACCGCTTGTTCCTTAGAAATAACAATAAATTCAAATATTAAGTAAAACAATAAGAGCAAAATAACGTTGTCTTGTGTCTTAAATTTATAAAATAACTACATAAAAATGTTTGGTCACCGTTGTTTCTACAAATTACTACTACTACTCGTACACTTCGCAAATTTAATTATGTTTCCTGCTGTTACACCGCCGTGCAAAAGCTGTCACTTTCTCATTTATAAATGATAGTACATCGCACTACCACCTAAGAGTCTAAGACAGTGTATTCTGTCTACTATGAGAGTATCATAAAAATATGTTATGTCTTCTATTAATGAAACTTAAAATAAGAATCTTAGTTACGATTGAAGTTAATAGCATACTTGAAAACAAACAGTATAAGCTTCCAGTATTCATACCTACTATGCCTACTAGACCTATATTCATACCTACTTAAGTATGTTTTATTTTTAAATCAGATCGCTATGATGATCATTCAAAATTAACTGTAGTTGATTTGATCTTGATATCAAGAACAAACCTAAAAAGGCGTGTTTAAATTGTTTTATGTTTATTAGGTTTAGATTCTTTACAGTTTAAGTATCTGACTTGAAATAATTTCAATCCCTTAATAAAATATTATGAATATATTAATGATTTTTTTTCTATAAAATGTGAAAGTATTTTTGAAATAGCCGGAATAATTATATCAAAAAAAAAATAACAGTTGCCTTTCTCATTCACAATAATATTAAAAAATGAGTTTACGGAATAGAATTGAACTTGCAAATAAAGAAAAAATAGGCAACCTGCCCTCTACATGTACTTAAATATTTAATATTTGCAATTAAATTATAAATCTGAAAATTTGAAACAAACATGAATTTGTAACAAATTCATTACTTCTTAGCCCAACGTACCAACTCCAACTTCGCAAAGCACTCAAAGAAACTTAACAATTTGAATGCTTTATTAAATTATGACAAGATTTAAGTTTCGATGTTCTTTCCAAGTCGGAACTTTAATGTCGCCTTTAATAAAAATAATTCTCGTTCATTATAGCTTGATACTTATTCAATTTCATATAACTTTTTATTATAACGAGGTAATTATCGCCTTGTTTCAATGTCGTTTATTTTTACGCTAATTTTGCTGTAAGTCATTTTATGGTTTCAAGGATGAAAACACAAGTTTTATTTACAATATTCAACATGTAATTTATAATCTCTTTGATTCATACTATGTTATATATATAAAGATTGTAAATAATAAGATATATGTATATCCTCCATCATTTTATGCCTTGTTTTGATGATATCAATTCATAAAGTTTTTTGAAAGTCGTTCCATACTTTTTTCTGGTTTTTGTAATAGTTTGTAATTCTTTAAGTTCGTAATTCAGTTTGCATCTACCAAAATCCAGTATACGCCAAAATCCTAAAAAAATATTAAAATATTTCACCGAATGAAACTTTGTTATATCATTTCTTTACCACTTACGACATTTAATAAACTTACTCATTTTTCTCAGGCAGCTGTCAAAATATGCGTCACAGTATGAAATGAAAACCCTGTAACCCTCATTCACATCTGGTGGATCGTTGTAGACACAGACAGGAATAGGAACAACTCTAGAAAAATAAAAATAATTATAACTCTCGTGCAAAAGGAGAAGAAATTCGGTGCTTCTACTTAATTTTTATAATCTCGTTTTCCTTTAAAAGGCATTATTTTAATTATAACTAGAAATTTTGTTAAATTTTGAATACGTAAATAGTAATCTCAGTTTTTCCTTTATATAGATTTGGAAACAAAAATATGACAGCCGTTTTGTAATTCATACTACGAACTAGTTAATATACAGGGTGACTGGTGAATTACTATCAATATTTAAGGAGCATACTCGGTACATGATTCTCATTCGAATTATGTAAAAAATAGGTACTTAATTTTTTACCAAATTTCCGTATAAATAAATAAAGTGTGGACACGTTCCAAGTGTTTCAAGTGTGGACGCGTACGGCGGCGTGCTGACACAACACTACGCCGCCGTACGCGTCTGTGTGTGTGTGTGTGTGTATACCTAATCTGTAGGGTGTTCACACGATGCGTAATTAATTACATAACTTTACTTAGAAGTTTATTAATATTTATGTTATATTAATTTTTATTTTGTCATATATGATCGTCAAATATCACGTCCTCAAGTATCGATAGTAATTCACCAGTCACCCTGTATAACAAAAATTAACTTAGCAGCAAAGTTATATGGAAAAATAATTACTATTCTATTGAGACATAAAGTATGTTGAAATTTTAGACTTTCAATAGATTTTTAATTACATTCTCATAGTTTTTCTGGAATCTCCAGCAACTGGGAATAAGTGTTCTAACGTTGCATAAATGCATATTTAATTAGTCCCTAGTTTATACTACATTATGTAACATACATGTCAGCGTTGCACTTTATCATGTCTTCGATGCATCTTTCGTGGTCCACGGGAAAAGCTTGATGATATTGGTGATTATCATATAAGAAGGACTGAGTCGTGTATCGACCATAACCCTGAATCAAAGCCTGGTTAACATCCTCCTCGGGTATATCTGTGATATATGTGACGTATTCTGTGGTCGTTTCTGAAATAATATACAAAGACATTTATAATTTCGACTATACACATCCTTGATTGTATTAGTGTAAGACTTGACATGCATTAACTGAAGAATTGCGTTACTGTATCATATATTAACCGTCAATTTTTTTATTAAGGGTATAATTTTCTTCTTTCATTTTCTTCTAAGCAGGGGAGATATTTTTATTTTTCTTTTAATTTTTAATGAATAATCTTTTTGTTTATGTATTTGCATAGTCTATATAAAGAAATTAAGTTTCTTATTCAATTGTATGGTGATTTAATTTTGTTAAACTTAAGTGTTTATTACGTGCAAAAAACTTATGCAAGACATAGAATTAAAATATTTGTAATTTATTAGTCACTTACAATCAGTGTTTTTTTAATGAAAAATTGGTGAAACAAATATCAATGAGAAGTTCTTATACTTTTTTAATAAACATATCTTACACTGTTTTTATGCGAGCCCGTTAATTGCTCTTACCAGGCTGTTACCACTAAAGTATAAGCTAACATATCTACTTTCACTTTTAATTAATTAAATTACAGAAAAACATGGTATTTTCATAGATAATTCAATTTTAGAATTTATATTTGTATAAGTATTGAATTGAATAAGTTTAAGTAATTTATAATTCATTAATATTATTGCCTTTTGACACTCCCAGAACAGTTGATTTTTTTTTAATTTCATTTCAAATGCCCAATGTTCTAACTTCCCTTGTTACACCTATTGTTAAAAGTTTTAACTAAATTATAATTAAATTGACATAAAAATATATCTTTTTAAGTTTTCACTTACCTATAATAATTGTTTTCACTGTGGTTTCTTTAGCTCTACATTCTATTATAAGCAAAAGTATAACTAAGATAGATACTTCAGTCATTATCAGAAACATCAAAGTACTACTGTGTCAAAGAACTAATCCAATGTTCCCTAATGGAAGCGTGTATTAACACGCAATACTTCATTTGCTATTTTAATAGTGATTTTAATTAGCATGTCTTCATTAAGACGATTTTGATTGAAAACTACAGTATAGTAGAAACAATTTTTGAGGAAAAAATACTTTTATATTTGATCTTCCCTAGATATTTATTAGTTGTATATCAATATTTTTATTCAATCATTTAACACGAATTTCATAATAGTAAATAGAAACCATAATTGTAAATAGAATTCTTTGTTTATACAAAGTTTAATTTAGGAATCTTAATACAGTATTCATAAAGGGAATATATTTCAGATTAATTTTCCATTACTATTATTTGTTCGTTTGACGTCATTCTTAATTTATCTATCCATGTCAAATGTCAATAAATTGCAAGCATTTTGAATTAATATTAAAATGATAATGGATCAATCATGCTATTTCCCAAAACCACTAAGACCCGGGTTAAACTATTCGGGTAATTTTTCTTAATCGTTATTATTTTGAATGAAATTTGGATTATGGATTTATTTTTAAATAATCAGCAATAACATTAATTGCAGTATTTTAATAGAAGAAACTACTTAAATGCATATACATATTTGTAAAATTCTTTCACACTCTTCCGACTCCCAAGAATAAATCTCTTCAAGGTCATAAAATAACACACTTTTATTTTAATCCTTAAGCTTACTATTTATCAGTCCACAAACGTGTTCTTTAAACATTTAATGTATAAAAATATATTACGTTTAATTCCAGACCTAAAGTAACCAATACAAAATTATTACATTTTAAATTCCGTGGCAAATCTCTCATTTGATCTCAATTTAAAAAAAGGCATGGATCATAAATTTTTTTCAAGTATTTTTTTTTGTATTTTAAATCGTTTCAGTTAAAACAAAAGGAATAGTTATAAATAAAAACACACAGGAATACATATATGTATAGAACAAACAGTTTAATGAGCTAGTTTCTAAAGAAATGAGAGTACAATTGTCATTTAGATTCAATGAGTAAGAACTATTTGGACAACTTCCGAAATTTGTTTTCATATAATTTTTGTGTATATTTTCATTTCTGATATTACGATAGCACAGACGTTTCACATACTTTGTATAACTTGTCTTCTTTATATTTATATTTGTAATCATACAATGACACAATATTCGAAAATAAATTTTACATCCATAAGTAACCTGAAACTTGTTTAATAACTGTATATGTAGGAATATGACATACCTAATAATGGGCGTGGTACGAATTATATTTTTTATGGGTTTCTATTCTATTGATAGTGAAAATAGTTATGACAACCCATCCCATTCCTAAAAGGAATTTACTCAAATATCAGATATAGACCCGATACTTTAACTCCTGTTATAAAAATAATTCTTTTAGATTAATTATAATTATTCATTTGTAATATTAAAAATGAAATAATACTATACGTTTACGCTATTTAAAAATCGCTTTTTTCTCAATTGTTCTTTTCTTATTACGTACGACGTCGTGGTCTGCTTTGCAAGGTATAATTTAGTGAGTTACGCATCATAAGATTAGTCCTAAACTTTTACGAAAAAATTTAATCCCTTTATGAATATGATACCAAATGTCGAAATATAATATTACACAAAAACAGAAAATTATCCAGTAAATGCCATATTTCCATATTAATTTGAATATTCACCACAAGAAAACTGGTTTTCAAATCAGTTTGAGAGCTACGATGTCACTGCCACACATACACACTCAGAAATCGATGTCAAACTTATAATTAAGAGGTGGTAGACCCTAGGTGTGGTCAAGCTACTACAGCTCGAACGTATTCTAGCTCTACCGGAGGAATTAGAAACGAACTTGCTCTCATAGAAAATCGTGTGGAGTAGTCTATAATGGCCGTCCGATGAATGAGAGAGCCGGTTGCCCTTTCCCTGTTTCCCTTTTCCTCCATCCTCAACAATCAAGGTCGGCAACGAATGGTGCATCATCAATATTCATCATGTTATAGACGTCTATAGACATATGTTTGTGTGAAATACACTCCTTTTTGATTCGGGGTCAAATTAAAAAAAAATCCCGATCAAAATGTAAGTAAATATTTATATACATTGATGTCAATTGAAAATATAATAATTTTTAATAACATCTTATTCTAGAAAACGAAAAATGTTTTGTTTATGAATAGAAATAATGAGTTTATTTTATTTGTATATAAATAAACAAAAATGTTCTATGTATAATGAGAAAAGAAATTCTGTATAATAATTTCACTTTTTACAACTATCTAACCATAATAATTCGATTTATTAAAAATTTATCCTTGAGAACACTTAAAAGGAGGAGACTAATTTACATAAAAGAAGACAATTGACTGTCATCGCTCATTAAAACTGTAAATATTCCTTAGACTATTCTATTACAAAATATTAATTTTTGTGTTTTTTAACAAAAAGAAATCTATACAATAATAGACGTTATGTCTTAACTAACTAAGGTTCAAAATCGATCAACAACATATAATTGTCGTAACCATTCTCGAGGTGACGTGAAGAAATAGTCTTGGAATTTGTCTATTTATATACATACATTTATTTATGAGCTTTTCAGCAATTTTCTTGGGATTTAGATGAAAGACCCCTTATAGTTTTACAGTAAGATTATTATAGGTTTTTACTTAAAATTTAATAACATTCAAATTAACAATATTTAGTCACCACTAGTGACATTAACCTACAATACTTCTATTTACTAAGAATTTTTATCCATATCGCTGTAACCTTGCAAAAATGAGACACCGACTTCAAAAAATGTTTAAATATTAAGAAATGGTATATATTTAATTAGGTATTAAATAAGGTTATTGAAAAGTAAATAAAAATAGTGTTCATTTATCTACATTAATTGATTTTTGTACAGATATTTCAAATTTATATTTATATTCGATAGATTAAGAAATAGAAATTAATTGTAAAATTATTTTAACTTTTTAGTTTCTGTGTCCCTATGTTGTTTTTTTGAAGTTAGTTAATAATGAAGAACATAAAACAAGACGTATTATATCTACATTGAAATCCTAACGTCTATTAAAAATTGAAATGTTTACAGACTATATTTGTGTTTCATTTTTCACAGTTTTTTTTTTTAATTAGATTTCGAAAGTATTCTTAAGCTTATTAAGAGACATTGTTTACTTACTAACGACTTTTTTCTTGAATGGTGTCAATTTCACAATAACAAGACTTCATATTTAATAAAGACCAAAAATCTTCTTGAATGTGATTACAAGTCATTAAATCATTCAGCTCTTACAATTTCCAGACTGTTAACTGCAAATTATTGTTATATTTGTTCAAATAAATAGTATCTAAATGTAACAACATTAAGTTAATATTTATGCAAGCTCAGTTGGTTCAAACTATCGTCATCTCAAAATTTCTAACACAGTTTTTGGCCGAATTCCGAATCTGCTATAACCTGGCGCTTCAGTGCCAAATCTAGTTTTAACTTAGTTTTACTAAAATTAAGTCATTTATTTTTTATTCATTAATACAACGTTCATATTAGTCGAACTTATCGTGGGTTATTTTGCACGAAATCATGATTTTATTTTCAAGGATTAAATGATAGCTTTATATATAAACAATTATAAGTATTTTAACGTTTTTATTTTACACAAACATACGGAATTTCTTTATGTAACTGAGTTTTTAGCTTCTTATGTTTAGACTTAATTTTAATGGAAATTGAGAATGGAATATCTAAATGTGAGCAAACTGATTTTTTTTATTTATCAAAAAAAAAACAAATACTTTGTTACTATATAAGATGACTTTGACTTCTAAACATTATATTATTAAAAAAATCTTTCACATTCACATACAAACTTTCTCAGGTTGGTCTTCTTATTTTGATAAAATTCCAGGTTTTTTTAACTTTAAATTTCGAAAATCTTTCATTGAGCCCATAAATCTTTAGTTGTTATCTTTGATACAAAATAATGCATGGATGACTGCATGGAGTAAAATTATTTGAAAAATATAACAATTAGTCGTAAAATATAATAATAAATAGTATGAGATATTTCATCATTTACAAATTAGTAACAGAAAGTTATTCTAGTACGCAATTATACTCAATGTATATAAATGTTTCCGATGGTGCTTAAATAGACCAGAAGACCTTTAAAAAAGAACAGAATTTTAACCTACATTCGTTTAAGAATACCAAAAAAATAGTATTAAACATAAAGGATAACGAATACCATAAAGTAAATGAGGAACCCTTTTAATGTAGACAATTTACCTTAAACGAAGATAAGGCAAGAATAATAATTCTAGTGAAATAAGTATTACGTCTGAGAGTATGCCTACCAAAAAATGTAAATTGGATGCTTAAAGGTTTTAAAAATATATATAGAATATAGAACGAAAATTACTTTAAGTACTTGAACATTTTATTTATCACATAAATTGCGTATGTGATTGTTAACATTCGTTTAATAATCCTTATTCTAAATTATACTTATGATAAAATGTTGTATTTTTATCATGTTCCGATGTAAAGAGGAAAAGTAATAAATGAATAAAATTTCGGATACAAAGAAAACAACAACAATACGATCAGTAATGAAGTTTATTTTTCGTATTCTATTAATTCAAATCCCACAGAATTTAATTTCAAACCTAAAATGTGTTAAAAAGTAATTAAGTATTTTACGTATATATTTCTTACAATGATAGCTTACAATTAGTTTGATCTTTCAATTGGATTTTGTATTGGAACTAAATGCTCAGAAAATCACACTTAAACCTTGATTGATTGGATAATTAAAGTGATTTTTAAAAGGGACTAATAAAGAGTTTACATCGTTTACAAAGATTTTGTTATTTGAAAAATTCATTTTAAAATAAGCAGCTTAATGCGTTATTACAATTTATTTTAATTAAATGACC